AAAAAAAAAAAAAGGCGGGGGGAGGCAGAGGATGGAGCTCAGTGCTTCCTGGCTTCAGTCCCCAATACTACAAATAAACTAAACTTTCACAGCACACAGAACTTCCATGTTCAGGAACCCAATTTTATTTTTTTAATAGGGACTAATATTTTTTTAGTATACAAATCATTTTTTTCTTTTTTTTGGTGGTACTTTTTGTTTGTTTGTTTTTTTGTGGTTCCGGGAATTGAACTCACGACCTCGCACTTGCCAGGCAGGCGCTGTGCCACTGAGCTACATCCCCAGCACCTTAGTGGTACATTTTAGATATACATAATGATTACATTCATCATAGGGAGTTTGTACCTGTGCATGATATGTCTTGCTGCAGCTTTTTCCCCATCCCCCCCTCCCCCATCTTCCCCTCCTTATTTACAAAAGCTTTGTTTCCATTTTTCCTTCTTGTCCCTTCTTTCTTTTTCCCTTCCCTCCTCCCTTGTTCCCCTTCTCATTTGAACATTCCCTAATACCTGTTATACATTTTGGTCCTTATTTACACTTCCGGTTTCTCACACCAGAGAAACAATGCAGACTTTATTTTGTTTTTTGTTTGTTTTTGGTACCAGGGATCAAACTCGGGACCTTGCGCTTGCCAGGCAGGCACCTGTGCCGCTGAGCTATACCCCCACAATGCAGACTTTAAACATATGTGTTGGATTGATTGCACTTCAGAGTGTGGTCTCAAGGTGCATCCATTTAGCTAGAAATGCCTCCAGCTTCTCCTTGTTTACTCCTTTGTATAAGAAAAACCCCACAGCTTCATCCGTTCATTGGTTGGTGTAGTCTCCCTTCCAGTGGTCTCCTTTGCAGTCAGGGCACGGCATGGGGGCCTCTTAAGGCAGTTCCCCTTAAAGTGGCCTGGCTTTTGGCAGTGGTAGCAGGTGAGGTTGGCAGTCATCGAACTGTTCTTGGAGCCCCCAAATCAGACTTAGGGACTATATTTTTTAAGCCCGCAACAAAGGCAGCTGCGTTTTGGTCTCTTTCTTTTCTTTTCTTTT